TGGAGGACAACTTTTGGGGCCGCTCGGACATCAGTGGCTACATCAGCGCCCTGGGCCTGGGCTGCCGCAGCATCGAGCTGGTGCTGTGGGACGGTCCCGAGGGCGAGCCCGTGGTCTACACCAGCCCCTCGGCCGCCTCCTGCGTCCCCTTCCGTGCCGTGGTGGGGCTGATCGACCAACACGCCTTCACCGCCTCCGCCTACCCCCTCATCCTCTGCCTGGTGGTGCGTTGCTCGGCCCCCCAGCAGCGCCTCGCCGCCCAGTGCCTGCGCAAGACGTTGGGGGAGAAGCTGTACCTGGAGCCCCCCAACCCCACCGCCTCCTACCTGCCCTCCCCGGAGCAGCTCAAGGGGCGCATCCTCATCAAGGGCAAGAAATTGCCCCCCGGCTGCGAGGACAGCGAGGGGGAGGTGTCGGACGAGGAGGAAGGCTGGGAGCTGGCGCGGCGGCTGGGCCAGGAGGACCGGGAGGTGCCGGAGGGAGGTGGCCCACGGCGGGTGCGCCTCAGCCGGGAGCTCTCGGAGCTGGTGAGCCTCTGCCAGGCTGTCCCCTTCCAGGATTTTGAGAGCTCGCGGCGGGGGCAGCGCTACTGGGAGATGTGCTCCTTCAGCGAGGTGGAGGCGGGACGTTTCGCCAACGAGTGCCCGGCCGAGCTGGTGAGCTACAACAAGAGGTTCCTCTCCCGCGTCTACCCCAGCCCCATGCGCATCGACGCCAGCAACATGAACCCCCAGGACTTCTGGAAGTGCGGCTGCCAGATGGTGGCCATGAACTACCAGACGCCGGGGCTCATGATGGACCTGAACGCGGGCTGGTTCCGGCAGAACGGGGCCTGTGGCTACGTCCTCCGCCCCGCCATCATGCGAGAGGAGGTCTCCTACTTCAGTGCCAACGCCAAGGATTCCTTGCCCGGGGTGCCTGCCCAGCTCCTGCACCTCAAGGTCATCAGTGGGCAGAACTTGCCCAAGCCCAAGGGCTCGGGGGCCAAGGGGGAGGTGGTGGAGCCCTACGTCTGCGCCGAGATCCACGGCATCCCGGCCGACTGCGCCGAGCACCGCACCAAGACGGCCCTGCAGAGCGGGGACAACCCCATCTTTGATGAGAGCCTGGAGTTCCAGATCAACCTGCCGGAGCTGGCCGTCCTGCGCTTCGTCGTGCTGGACGATGACTACATCGGGGACGAGTTCATTGCCCAGTACACCATCCCCTTCGAGTGCCTGCAGCCCGGCTACCGCCACGTCCCGCTCCAATCCCTGGCTGGGGAGCCCTTGCCCCACGCCACCCTCTTTGTGCACGTGGCCATCACTGATCGTCGTGGTGGGGGCAAGGGACACCGCCGGGGGCTGGCGGGGCGCCGGGGCCGCCGGGTGAGGGAGTACACCTCCACCAAGGCCACTGGCATCAAGGCCATCGATGAGGTCTTCCGGACGGCCACCCAGCCGCTGCGGGAGGCCACTGACCTGCGGGAGAACGTGCAGGTATGGACCCCGCAGAGGCACTGGGGGCTCTGGTTTCTGTGGGGGAGGACAGGGCTGAAGTGGGAGTGGTGGGGAGCCCAAGGAATGCGGGTGAGGAACCTCAACTGGAGCAGAGAGCTGGGGGAAATGGGGCAATCCAAAGGGGGGGCTCTTGGGGGCTCTCCAGGGCTGGGCTCCTGATGCTGGGGCAATCCAAGGTGGGGGTCTTGGGGGCTCTCCAGGGCTGGGCTCCTGATGCTGGTCTCTGTCCGCAGAACGCGCTGGTCTCCTTCAAGGAGCTGTGTGGCCTGACGCCCGCTGCCAACATGAAGCAGTGCATCCTGACGGTGGCCACGTGGCTGCTGCACAGCGACAGCGCGCCCAGCGTCACCCTCAACCTGGCGGAGCAGTACCCCCCCATGGAGGCACAGGGCCCCATCCCGGACCTGCTGCGCAAGGTCCTCACCGCCTACGAGACGGTAAGTGCCCGTTCCACCGGGGCTTGGCTCCTTGTAGAGATGCTCCAGCAGCTCCAGGACCACCAGCCTGCCCAGGACAGGGGACCCTGAACTCATTGCACCCATCCTGGTGCAGGGGGGGCTGCGTGGGGGGCTGTCCAGGGAGGAGGCTGTTGAGGTGCAGGCTCACCCAGCTCAGTACGAGCTCTGGGAACCCGTAGCCCCCATCCCCCTGCCCCACGCTGCCTGCACCTGGGGCCGGGGCCGGCTGGTGGGGCGTCCCACGGTCCCGTCTGGGGGGAGAAATCCCATTAATGGCCCAGCCAGAGCCGCTTCCTTCCTTTGTGCTGGAGGGGGATGTGGCCACCGGCCAGGCGCTGGTCACACCACACCTGGCTGGGCCAGACCCCGGCCACCAAACCAGAGGAAGGGGCAAGCCCTTACCCGAGCCCCTTCTCTCCATCCACTCTTCCTGGGGGGTGCGTGGGGTCAGGGGGGTGCCCACCTCGTCACGCTGCCCCCCCTCTCTCTCCAGATGATCCAGACCAGCCGGACGCTGATCGAGTCCGCCGACGCGGTGTACGGGAAGCTCATCCAGGCACAGCAGGCAGGTGGGTGCCAGGGGACCCCCCCCCGGTGCTGCTCCACGCTGGACACGTCCCAGGAGAGGGGGACAAAGCTGGGTTGGGGCCTCGTGTCTCCCCAGGGCTCGGTTTTGGGAGGCTGGCACCAGGCTCTGGACCTGGGCACGGGGATGGCCATGTGTGTTGGTGCTTTTGGCCGTGCACTTTCACACCAGTGGTGCACAGTGGAGGACAAGGGGGGTGTGTGTGCACCCCGGGTGTTGTGTGCCATGGTCGGGGTTCAGCAGCAGAGCAGCCGGGGCCAGTGGGAGAGTGGTTTGTGGTTGGGGTGGCCCCAAACCCGGCTCCGAGGTTTTCCCATGGCCTGGCAGCACCGGGTGGGCACCGGGGGGCTGCCCGGTGCTGGGGCAGGGTGCTGGGGGGGTGGGCTGCAGAGGCTGTGGAGGAGGGAAGAA